GAACTTGGATGATCCCTCCAACCCTATGCACATATAATAATCATTGGTGTATAATATTGCTGATATCTTGCTTACAAGCAAAATGAAGCTATAATCCCCACATGATTTTGACATGTGATTATGGCTTTGTATAGACTTTGCTGTTGTGTGACTGGTGACATTCCTGAGAATCACAGAGCTGAGCTCAAGAATGAGGATGAATAAAATTGTACTGTCAAGAAGGAAAGCATCATTGTGCATAAGGGAGCAAACAAGGAGCAGAAACTGGTATCTAATTTAACATCCCAAAATTTGTTGACATATTGGCACAATGGTTTGCTGTGTCAGCTGTAGCATCTTATATAAGTTTCTGCATAATAATAACAAACCAAAGAGAGAGAAGGAATTCTCCTGGGAATAAATACATTGCCCTAAGGGCCTGAAGGAAAAGGAAAAGACATGTGCCCTAGCACTAACATCTGGGCAACAATAACCAGGAGAACCCCTGATCACCTGATGGCGGACTACAGTGCTCTGGGCGGCGTGCTGAAGGAGTTCGGTGCACAGGTGGTATTCTCTTCCATCCTACCAGCGAACGGACGCGGAAGACGGCATGAGAACTGCATCCGAGAGACCAACTGGTGGCTTCGGCAGTGGTGTCTCGAGGCAGGCTTCGGCTTCCTGGACAATGACCCGCACATTATGATGAGGGCCAGTTCTATTATTTTCATTTAATCCGAAGCAAGTTAATTCCCAGAGGTTTAGTCTTTGGTGTCACTGGGCACAGCTACATGTGCATTAATGCATTTTTCCTAATGCACATTAAATTTAATACCTCCAATATAAAGTACTAAATACATGTGCATTAGACTGTGCTAATGTGCAGTAGTGCAAGCACACCCTTTTTAGGTGACACTTAATGTGCAGTTGCTTATTCTACTGACCATTAGTATATTAGCACTTTTTTTATGTGCTGCTTTAACGTGCAGTAGAATAGACCATTGTGCATTAAAGCACACACATAATCACACCCATCGTCATGCAACTGTTTTGGAGAAAGATATAATGGGATGTGGGTTTATTTAACTATGTTCTAAGATTGGCCCTTCTGTTTCCCAGCCAAGATGGAAAATGTGAGCAATTTTAACATTAAGTTGATCTCTGGAAAACTCTGGCTATTTCTCTCTGGTTTTTGGCTATACAGACCGAGGTAGCTTGGGTATGTTTTCTTTTGTAGTTCTAGGATGTTTTCTTCTGTGATTCTGATCCATGGCTATTGATACCAACTGAGCCCACTGTCTGTGATACTTCTAACTGCTGATATTTCCATGTATAAAGGATTCTAGGCTGAGTAAAGTTTGGACAAAAACAAAACATTCACAAGTGACAAACAAACTTGACTCCCAAATGAAGTGTACAAACTAGGTACCCATCCAAATGATGATGATTAAAAGAAGCAAATGAGATGGACACTTTGCTGATCATTCAGAAATCTCTGAAATTATCTCTGAGATAATTCAGCAGCTATTATAATAAAGGCAACTTAGTTATGAAGGACAGCATGTAGGGGCAAAACGCCTTATCCATTATTCATCCAATGGCTAATATCTATGAAATATTGGCAGGAAAAATGATAAGAATGACATTTCAAAGAACCTGATATTTAGAGATGTTCGCATTTGGGATTGTAATTTATCATAGAAGATTTTTTTAGAAAAATGTGGTCTAGACCAAATGTAGACACTGAATTTGTCCATGGCTCTAGACTGTAAGTTCCAAGGTTTTGGTTCATGCCCGTGTCATACCATTTTTTTTTTTAAAGTTTATTATGGGCCTTTGCATTGAATTTCAAGCTAACATTGAATGCCATCTAAACCAGGGCCTATTATGGCATGGAATGGAAAGGGGAAAATCAGTTATTTACTCTGAAGTAACTTGTAAAAGTTTTGAATTGTCAGAGAGAAGCCAGGTTGTTTTTTCTTTGTTAGCCCAGTATTTTAAAATTCCCATTAATGAAGAGATTTATTTGCCTCTTATTTCTTCAAAGAACCCGCAAGACCACAAATAGTGATTTAAACTATTTCTCTCATTATTTCCACAAGAACATATTCTGTCCAAACATGGGGTCCAACACCACTTGCTTATGGCAACTGCATATCATTTACAAAAGCTAAAAGTGTTCTGGATTCCTTGTTTTCTGTGTCGTGTATTTAGTAGAAGTGATTCTAAAGTGTGGCAGTTTAACTCTTTTTGTCAACATAGAATGTATTCTGAAGTTGATGGAAATTAATGTTTTTGGCATATACTGTGAGTTGTTGAAGGAAAAGTGGCCTCCTTATACCCTTGAACTGCCTGGAGATATATATTAGACAGAAGTCTTTAAAGACTAGCAGTAAAAGTAACCAGTGCTAATTGCATAGCGAGGTTTGCCAAGGTTGCAGGGAAACTCCCAGTACATGTTACAGCAAATGCCATGAAGCTAATTAATCACCGACTAGCTGATAAGTACAAATAAGTTAACATTCTGCTTTGTTAATAATACCTTTTACTGGAAGAAACTACTAGTCCAACTTTTGTCTTTTGTTTATATTTAAAATTTCCAATGGCTGACAGGCAGCAGAGGGATATAGATAGGAAATAAGTGATATATCATTAAGTAACAACAAGACTTTATTATGCATGAGCAATATCCACCATTCTTACATTGTTTCCTCAGCTTCAGCCATTATTCTTTTACCTCCCTTATCACAGTTTCAGATAAAGCTTCTCTTATTTCTCCAGTTATCTTAAAACAGAGTATAGCCACTGCCTTTACAGAGATCACCCCAAGATGCAAACATCTTGGATGCTTATCTTGCTGGGATCCTATGATCCCTGCTGACTTCCTGCCCCTGGGGCAGGGAGCTGGACTCAATGATCCTTTGGGGTCCCTTCCAGCCCAAATGTCTATGAAATCATACAAAGTCAAACTGCTGGGTTTTTTTTATAAATAAATATAAACACGTGAAATCAGATTACTGAGATAAACAAAGAAAAAAATCCCTCAGAGCACATCAGTAGTGGTTTTACTATGCTGCTGGTGAAGGAGTGAAGTCTAGTGATATAAGGCACAAAATGGGAAGTCAAAAGCTCTAAGTTTTTTGCTGGAAAGAGAGTAACTTAACTTCTTTTTCTGTACTTTTCCTTTTTACGTTATGGAAAGAATAGGCTTGATTCACCCCTTGGTGTGTCCAGCACCACAAAACGGGTCCTCTTTATTAAGGGAAATAGCCAAATTCTTCAAAGAATTGGCTCTCTCTTCAAGGTATGCATATATTCCTGTGCCTAAATACAAGTTCAGTAGATCGAAAAATATCAAGATAAAAATGCAAAAAAAAAGGAGAAACTAGTTTGGCGTGTACAGTTCTCAAACAGGCATAAGTGATCTAGTGACCCAGTTTTGTATAACCTTCTTGCCCCCCCTCCCCCTTAATTTTACCCACCATCTGTTGACTTCTCTATACTGCATTTCACTTGAACTATAAATCAGACTCTTTGTCTTTTGTTTATCTCTAAACCATCATCTATGGAGCTGTGTGAATAATAATATTATTCAGAATTGTTTACAATGTTATTATCTCCAGTGGTTAGTATTTTAATTTACTTTTAAATTAAATCTACTGATTTATCTTTGCATTTTTGGCTTCTTGGGTTCTATGCAGCGTGTTTATTTCTTTAATGATTTTAAATAAAGAGAACAAAAAAAATTGGGTCCTTTCCTTTCCAAATTTCACTGCTGAGTGACATTTATAATGACTGAACTGTAACCAGAAATGTTAATTATTGCTCAGGTAATTATAATTCAAAATAACAAAGGCCGCTAAATTTTCTCCTTTGTGATTATTATTTTTCTCCAGCTTACCTCAGTCATTTTACCCTTTCTGTTCCCATAGTGACACCTACTGGAGTGTAAAAAAGAAAATGCAACAAAATGGAAGCATCAAACACAACTATGCCTAATGCTTTCATTTGTGTTATCAGATTATGTTGTGTCTGCGTTGTTTGTACAGCATCCACAAGCAAATGAAATGGATCTCTGTCAGCCACACTGGTCTTTGTCACATGTTCACTATGTCTGCCTCACTCAGAGCCTGCGAGTTATGTAAAAATGTAGTACTTGGGCTGGATTGGGCAAAACTCCCAAGGATTTCACATAGGAGTTTTTCCCTATTAGGTGTAATAGGATTGGGCCTTTTATTTCCAGTTAAGTGTTGGCTTAATTTAATTTTTTTTGGTAGAGTTCATGCAATAATATATTCTCCTAGTCCCTTCTCTCAAAGAATCTTTTTATTTACTTTCATTCTCTTTCTAGCTAACCTATTATTTTGTCAGCTTTTGATCTCAGTGCCACTTGCTATGCTTCAGGCAGGCTACATGCCCCATTTTAATCCTGCTGAAATCAAGAAACATGCATTCCTAGTGTCACCAAAGTCAATGGTAAGCACTCCTATTGACTTCAGTGGAGGCAGAATTTCGCTGAAGAAGTCTGCCATTAACTTTAGTGAGCCCAGTGGATGGATCATGTGTTTCACTGACTGTTGGTAAGGCCCTTGACCTTTCTGATGAGCTTCCATCGGTGAAATGTGGGGTGATAAAGTACACTCTGTCAAGCAATCCAAAAAAAAGCTAGTTTTTAGAGCAACTACATCAATACATTTGATCAGTCCAAGAAGAAATCAACTTCTCACAAGACACAAAGTAAGATTTTCTGCTATGGCTGAGGAGCACAAAACACAGCTCAGCAGTGGAGATGTAAACTTGGCATCCCCAATCTTAAGCATAAGCTGTTCTAAGTTACATCAGCTACCAATGACACTTGGGGGGGGGCCTGATACATCAAAGTGGGGGGTCACCAAGTTGCTGTGGAGGAGCTGTTACTATGCCTTTTGGCCATTAGGTGTCTCCTTGCACCGCAGTGATTGTCCTCCTTGACAGATTATTCTCTTTCCCCTATCCTGTCTTTAGGGCTGCCTGCACACTGTGGCTGGGTTGAAAAATGGCTACAGTGGAATGGACATGATGTCCTACAGCAGTGAACAGGGAGATCCAAGCAATACATCAGAAAGCGGACCAGGGATTGCATGGTAATTCTTTATCTTCAAACCCATCTCATTTATGCTACCATCTAGCTCCTACACATCTAGGCTTAGATGATACTTCTCTAGGCCTGGATTTACTGCCTCCAGAACATAATGCAACAGGATATTGGTTTTCCTAATGGCTCTGGCTGAAGCTTTGGACCTGAATCTTTTTCTCCTTTGTGAGGAATTAGGCGGAAAAGTTTCTCTTTTATTAGACCAATTCAGATAGTTGGAAAAAAATCTTCTTTGCAAGCTTTTGGGTATTAATACCCTTCGTCAGGCAGAGGAAGCATCTCATTGTGAGGAATTGACATTCCTGTTCATGCTACCAAGAAACAGGAGCTAGCAGAGGCACAAATGAAGTATGGACAAAATAAAAGATTTTCACTTTTTATAAGTCCTGTGCAAATTCATATGCCCCTGTCTGTCCTCAGGACCACAAGGGTCCTGTACACACCCACTGCTACAACCCTCCAGCTTATGAGGCTGGCAGTCTCTATTTCCACCCTTCCCCCATAACTAGCAGGGGGAGGGTTGTCCAGGACACCAGCCCCGCTGAGCAACCCTTTTTGCTTTGGGGGGAGGGCAACGTTCCCTCCAACATGTAGTGATCTATGAGCATGCCACTTCGGTCCATGAACGCACTGCTTTAGTCCCCCCTCCCCTTTTTGGTGCGTGCCGTTTCGGTCTGCCCCAGAATTACCTTCTTGCTCACTACTTATTTGTATGTTCTTTCCCT